TCTGTAAGACTAAAAAAAAAAAAAAAAAAATAAAGAAAAAAGGACAAAACCCTCATTGCAAACCTACACCATGCAATCAAGAAGGAAAGGAAACCGATCCTTCCTGATCCCCCCCAGATCGTAATCTGACAATGTTTTCAAGGCATCTGGCAAAAAGGAACAAGAAAGAATAATGCTATGAAATATTTAAAATCCTACTTCTGTCAAGAATACACGAGAGGGGAAAGGTGAGTTTGAAAGGCCTGCATTATTTGTAAGTTAAAACCTGAAAGCACCATCTTTTGCATAGAGGCACGAGATGCCCTTGGCCCGAGCCAGAGCGGTCCTGAGAACAAGTACCAGGCGTTGATTCAACAGGGACTGGAATGACAAAGTCAAGGTTGTGTGTGAGAAGGACCAAAGCAACTGTCCTGCAACACCATGGGATGTACCATGGGACGTCAAGGGTAAGGCAATGCACTAATGATACCGCACAGTAGCTGTGTCTTTGCAGCCCACAACTGATCCTCCTCATCTAAAGCTTGAATCAGATTTTCAAGAGCATGGGAAGTGGAGCATACCCGAGGGAGGATTTCTCCTAAAGGCACTTTTTTTACTGCTGAGACTCTCACTAAACAGACATGCAAGGAAGGGGAAACTGCCCTGTGAGATCAGAGTTGCATCAAATGATACCTTGCTTTGGTCCTGCACCCAGGATCTTGCCCTTTCCATTCTCAAATCCCAACTCCTGTGGAGGACCTCTGTAGAAAGATCTCAGCTAGGCCTGACCAATGGACTGATCCCAATCCGCATCATGAGAAGCAGGCACAGAAACAGGCTGGATGTGCCCAGGCATTGTAAGGAGGGGAGGCACCAAGCAGATCCTCGGGAGTTCTGATGCTCAGCTGAGGCTTTTCTTAGTCACATCCACCTGACTGCTGTACAGTTCCAGTAGAAACCATAACAGACTTCAGTACAGGCACTGGGCACACAAATGGAACCAAAATGGTCCTGAAACACTGAAACAAAAGACACTTTGGAACAAAACTGGCACAGCCACAATCCCCACAACGCCTGTGTAAGATAGAAAGAATCCCTAGAACGTATTTATCAAAAGCCATTTTATGCAGATTTTTCCTTCTGAATATTTAAAACATGGTGAATATTAAACTTCAGAGATTCTTAATACGTTCCAAAGCCCCACGGACCTTTGAAATGCTAGCTCATCAATATGCAACATCTAATCTTGTCAGAAAAAAAAAAAAAAGAGGGAAAAAGAAAGCTATTCATCCTTTACACACAGAGGTTACAGTGAGAATCTCAAGGAAAAAAAACCTTCCAGCATCTTATGCAATAGGTTAAATTTACTCTGGTTGGGAAAGTTTCACTTTCTGTAAGAGAAAGTGCCTGTACATGCATAGCTACTGGAAGCTTCTTCTGAAGTGTGAGGTTGAAACTGTGTAGCTGGATTACAGTAAGTAGTTTATTAAAAAAAACAAGGCTTGTGGCTTTGCATCCTGTTCCAGTCCACTGTAGTTTCAGGATCCCCTCTCCAAAGGCCAGCAGACAGAGCGCCACCTAAAAATCCATTCTAGTCCAAAATGCTGCGGTTGAAATGGCTTTGCTTGTTTATAAAGTTTAGTGTTTCGTATCGCTTGCATCTGACCTTCAGCAGAAAGAAAAGCTCAGTTAAATTGTGCAAATATGTACCAAATGGGAGCAAGGGAAAGCAGCCAAAAATGCTGCATGAGCTTTTGCAGGGCTGCAGCCTTTTAGGAGCACCAGTTAGATGAACTGGATGAGAGGCCAAATTGATTTAGGCTCCAGGCAGGAGCTTAAAACACCACGACATCCAAATTCACAAAGAAAATGTTCTGTTACTGCAACCCCAAATTTCCTGCACATGAAAACACTGTTTTCTTTCATCTTTAGGAGATGCTCGTTCTGTAATCCGACATTTAAAAATGAACAAACAAACAGGAGTCAGCTGACAAAGGATTCTTGCTGGTGAATGGAAGTAGGTCACTCTGAGTATTTAGCCTTTACAGTCTGGCTTAATATTAGTGTTGTACACAGAGCAGTAACAAAACTACACTGGAGACAGGGAAAGACTCTAATTTTGTCTTTTCTATGAAAATTAGCATTAACGTTCTGCATTAATGTGCAATGCCTCCCCAGCACTCAATATCTGGTTAATTAAAAGAAAAACCACAACCACAAAGCAAACCACACACTAAATTAAACAACAACAAAAAACCCTTACTGGTCAGCCTGCATTTAAAGACATCTCAGCATGAGTAATTGGGCAGAGAGGAATTTTCCTGAAGGAACATAAAAGAAAATGAAAGCTCTACATACAAGACCAAATAAAATCTTCTGTCTCTCACAAATGCAAATTCAGGCTGCCCTTTTACACAAACATGTTAAAGGAATAAAACTGGAGGAAAAAATAAAAAAGGATAAGCTAATAAATTCATTTATGGACAAAAAAAATATTAAAAAACAAACTATCCTTCAAACATATTTCTTCATGGTAAATCCCTGCAATCATGTGGTTCTAAATTACATGGTTAAATATGACTGAAAAAGTAAGGCACAATTTCATAATAATTTTAAAAGCAATAATTATAACAATTTTCTTTGATATCCATATGGCAGGCCACTGATACTAAGGACACACAAAACTACTTGATTAAAGATCTGAAAAAGTTTTTCCAACTACTAACTAAGACTCGCAATACCTCGGTGAAGCAAGTAACAAACCATCTTCACTGCAAAGATGAGTGCACGTTGAGGAAATGGAAAAAGTGGGTAAGAGAGTGGCTTGTGGACAAAGGGAGGCAGAGGCGGGAAGGCAGAGACACCCCAAGTGTGATGTTCCCAGGGAGGGTCTCTAACCCCTAGTAATGCAATGATAATTACAAAACCTGGGGCTTCTGTTTCTTTCCTCAGTCTCTAAAATATCCTGGTAGGTTGAAAAAAGTGGACAAATAACAAAATTTAAAAAAAAATAAAAATGTTGGAACTGAATGCTCTTGCTACTCATGATGAACTCTGTTGCTTCCACATGTACCATGAAGCCAAAGAGACCAGGGACACGTAGTCAGGAGTAAAGCCCAGTGAGGTATAAGTAGCACTACTCAATATTGCAGCCTGTATCTCTACTCAGTTATAGCCCCACAACCACTTTATGTGCATGTGCATATGCCAGAGAGTGTGGAGCTTAGTTTTTTCAGATCTCAGCAGAAAATGTTCAGGTTGAAGTAAAAGTTGTTCCCAATGTCCACCAGGAAACTTACCAAGGTAATCTTTTTTCTATTAGATTTTTAGATGCTGGATGAATGTAATAATTTCACAGGTGTAAAGTCTATTTTCTTTCAGGCTCCAAATGCCAGTCCGACAATCGACTGTTGCAAACTCAAACTTGAAATGCTGAGGAAGCCAGGTAATATTTCTAGAAATGTCTAAGGAGAAATGCCATTCCCGAGCCCAGAAAGGTATGTGGAGATGAAGTTCAATCAGTATCTCTTGATCTCCATGGCAGTTGCCATAATGTGCTTATATTCTTCAGTAATTTCAGGGGGAAAAAAAACCCAAACAAAAAACCCCAAGATAAAAACAAAGAAGAAAACTGCAATTGCCACAGAAAAAGACACTGGCGGTCCCCATAGCCAGCCACTCCACAGCTTGAAGATGGGAAAGAAAAATGAACCACACAGAAATAAAACTGTTATTTTGAGAAGAGTCACATTATTTGGATTGTTCTAACAAAGGAAATAGTGACTTCAAAATTAGCAAAACTGGTTAAAAATAGGGAAAAAATATCTCGTGAGAAGATTCAAAGCTTTTTTTTTATTTCACTAGGTCCAATATTGAATCATTTCCCAAGAAGATGTGCTTGTTTTTAAGCAAAATTTTTATCCAAAGAAGTTTTCAAAACTGTCACAGAAACTTTAAATTACCAGCAGAAGAAACCCAAGAACTACTCAAAAAAACTGAAAGAAGACATGGGGATTTGAGAAATGAAAATATTTGTTAACAATTCTGAAATTTACTTAGATAAAAATTCAGTATGATTTTAATCACAAGAGAAAAAAAAAACAAACAAAAAATGTTGTGGGTAACATTGCAAAAGAGAGAATTTCTCACTAAAAACAGTCTTTCTGATATCATGTAATTTAGTGTAAAAACTGCAACCAGCTCCAACTGGAAATAGTGTTCTTACAGCTCTCCTCATTTGTACTTTATTAACTTCTAGGCTACTGAGTAGTTCCTGCTCTCCTTCCACAACAAACACTCAGGTACCATCACTAGTGTTTACTCATGGGAATTTCACCATGGTGAGGTTCTTCAGCAGCCCTCCCTCCTGATAGCCATGACTTGCAGCACTGAAATCTGTATGAGGTGTTGTCAACCCAGCTTAGTGAACAAATTGCAAATCAACATGATGAACCAACTGTAGGAACCACATATCAACAGAAACCACTTACAAACTCAAACCCTTTCTGAGTCATTCAGCTGAAGCACCAGGTGTCTAACATTTATATCTGATGCTGATGGAGGGCAAAGACACAGAATTTCCCCCAAGAACCTTCTCCTGGGTCCTGTTATCCCTTGCCTGCCAGACTTTCTCAAATCAAAACAGCATTTATCAAACCTAAGTCATGCTTCACTAACCATGGCCAGTCAGCAGCTGTAACAGGTCCAAAGAGACTTCAGAGTGACTTGTTGCATATTCTCTTTAACAACCACCATTTCTTTTAAGACACTTTTTTTTCTCTTTCTTCTCAGGCACATTTTGCTGATAAGCAGAAAGTCAACTTAAGGCCTGTGTCTTGCGAAAGCCTCACTCCTGCCATCAGGATGAATGCTATTATGTAGAGTTCACTGTGATGAACACTTTGGTGCTTCCATACCTCTATGATTCAATCATTACCCGAGTGTTTTGCAGCCATGATAAAAATCTCAGAATTAAAATATTAAAAAAAACCAAAAAACAAACCCCCAAATTAAAGGTGCATTATCAGATACACTAAAAAAATGGTGTTGTTTTCTGTTCTTAAAAGCAATGTTCAGTGATTAAAATGACAATAAAACGAACCACATTCACAAAATAGGAGCGTTAGCCTTGGGGATATGCTTAAGGATTGGGCTGTAACCAAGGCAACCCAATCTTCTGGAGAAAGTTTAAGTAGACAGTTTTAAAGCCATCCCTCAAAGATACAGTAAACCTGGCTGTAGGGCTACTTGTGCCATATGGAAGGTGCCACAGTCACCTAACACAAAGCACTCATCTTGTAATACCTCACCCTCCTGTCATCCAAATGTTACATTCGATCAGCCACCAGCCAGGCGGCTCTCCTGCAGCGAGAGCATAAGGGTGACACAGAAGCCATTTCATATGTTCTGGGTAATTTGACAGAAATTTGACTGTGCTCACATCCTAGCCAGATCAAATCTGTATGATCAGGTGATGCAGAATCAGTCTAGTGTTAATGGCTTACGTCACACCACGCAATGGCTTTAAGTCTGTGCTTAAACTAACGCCAGAACTTAAATATTTTGCTAAATTAGAACCTGATCCTGAGGCCTGCGTGGCCACACAAATCATGGGATCAGGCCTTACTTGCCAACAAATGCTAGACAAGGACAAAGGAGCATAAGCAGAAACTGAAGAATTGAACAGAAATGTCTGTGTGATCTTCCAATTCTTTCTGAAAGGAACAGTTTGGACATTACCACAGCCACAGAAGATGTGAATTTTTGTCATGGCTAAGTCCACCTTAAGAAAAGCAAGGGCTCTTTGGCAAAAAGACTCCTTCTTTGGAACAGATAAACAGGATATATTAAAAGTATGTGATAAATATGGTGATGAAGCAATATCCCAGTGGTTCTTAATTGCAGTGCAATTGAGATACGTCCACCAGAATTTCCTAATTAAATCCTGAAGCATCAGAGGGGAGATTTCCAAACCCATGTGGGTGATGAGAGCCTCTGTGATGTACATACAATATTTTTCAAATAGATTTATAGGAATTTTAAAAGGCAAAACCACAGAAGATAAAGAAGACTGTTTCGAACACTCACTCCTTCCAACAGGCAGATGGCTTTGGTGTTTTGGGGTGAAAAAACTCCCCCATCACAGTACCTTTTCACAGATGTGTCAGCTCTAAAAACTTGCCACAGTACCTCAAATATCAACACTGCTCAATCTTTGTCAATCATATTTCATCCATGGAGTATTTAATGCTTGAAAAGTTTGACTCTTACCTCCCTGCATGCCACCCCAACTCACAACAGCACCCTAATAACAGAGATCTAGATCTAGATCTCCTGGCTGGCCCTGTGCTTTGAAATGAGCTGGAAGCCCAAACCTACATACCAGTAAGCTTTTCTGGAAAGAGAAAATAGAACTCCAAAAATCAGCAGTTTGGACCAATCTGTGACTAGTTTAATTCCCAAAATGTGTCTGGGAAATTGGAAAGAAGCTCTCTCATGCAGACGGTGGAAGACAAGAAGCCATATGACTTGCTCCAGTCCAGCCTATGGCAGAGCCATAAAAAGCCCAAAGGCTCTGGACTTGAGTCATCCTTGGTCTAAGCCACATTCTGCTGGAAGGCACAACAGCTTCTTTCCATCAATTACCCCAGTGTTATTCAGAAGAGTCTCATCAGCCACTTGATTTAACGCTAGGAAGGGTAAGGAAGATCAGAGCTAGGTTTGCTGCCTCCCAAATGGCTTATTCTGCATCTGAGTGTATCACATCCTGACTTGTGCTTGTAGAGATGCAAAATCCTCAACAAGGATACAACAGTGTTATCAGTCCCAGCACTGACCTCCTGTGTTTTAGTAGGGTTAGTTCAAACTATATTTCCTCAATATTTGCAAGCTTTTTTTGATGGGTGGTGGTGCAGACTGTGTGTAAAAAAGCGAGCTCAGAAGGATCTTACATGCCACGGGTTCAGGGAGCAGCAGCCCAGGTGGAACCTGGCATGAGCCAGGGTGCCAAAAAAATCTGTTTATGTCTGAGGCAGTAAAATTTTTGAATGCCAGGGTAGAAATCCAGTATAAAAAGGCAAACTGCTTCAGCACAGCCTCTATGCTGGTGAAGGACTTCTTTTGCTCAATGATGCCACCCTTCTACAAAGAAGGATTCATTTTAAGCTGTGAATTTTGGGAAACTTCCCTGACACTGTGGAGTTTGCCAACATATAAACCATGTAAGTAACAAGAGGTTTCAGACTGGTATTTCTGTATTTGAATTTACTGTACATAGCTGAAGCTATTGAATTTCAGTGCTCTTCCATAAAGGTTAGTGCTAAACTGAAAGGAAAGGCACCATTTGCAGGAGCTGCAGTATCACATCACAATTTTTCCTCTTTGTTTCCTGTCGTTCCAGCTCATCTAACTTTTCAGCATTAGTAGATATAATCATTCTCTACAATAGAAATCTCATATAAAGGTGAAAGCACCACATTTCTTATTGTTTTTCAGTGGGAGCATGAAAAAAATTCTTATAACTTACTCTTGAAAAGTGCCAGTTTGACACTTATATGGTCAATCAGCCTGAAACTGTTTCAGTTCTGCTTCTTAATTTAAGTGCAAAGAAAGGTATTTTCTTTGATTACATCTGCAAATAAGATATTAATGTCAATTCAGTGATATGAAAATTACTCCCTCACTATGTAATTTGCACCTTAGTTATTATGGGTTTCATGAACAAGAATATTATAGCTGCTCAGTGTGCTGTGGATTTCTAATTTTTTGATTTTTTTTTAATTAACCTAACTAAAAAAAAAACCAACCACTATTACATCAAAAAAAGATTATCTGCATCCAGTTTTTATTTACCTTGGCATATGTATTAATTCTGGACCAAAAATGAAAATGCTGCTGCTGGCCTAGCACTCTACTGCCATGAATTTCACCAGAGACAAGTTATAAGTGGCTGGGATGAAAACAGAAGAGGAAAAAAGATGCTTACTTTCTAGAATGGCATAGTGAAGGGTTTAATACCTTCTTTAGCTTTCTTAAGATAAAAACTGAACAACAGCATGTATTTAGAAGGGTCTTTTTTGCTGCTGTTGAAAAAAGATCCTTGATTTTTTTTAATGAGAACTTCAGATCATGTGTGTTAACATCAGAGAAATTAATATCATCCTAAGGCTTGAGTCAATCCCTGTTATGGTTGAAGGAAAATCCTCCCATTGCAATAACAGGAGGTGGAACAAGATTCTATTGCTTAAATGTTTACCCAGAGACCAACACTGCCAGTGGTCCCACTAGAAGGGGTGTATGACAGAGTGGTGTAAGATTTTTTTGAGCATCGCTTTGCACTGCAGTTCTATGCAGTAATTTTGGGTTTTTTTAACCACTGGGATTTTAGAAACGTATTTCCAGTGCCATGACCGGCTTATGCCTCTGGTAAATCAAAAGCATGTTGTGTGTGTGTGTGTGTGTGTGTGTGTAGTGTATAGTGTGCAAGCTCACATCTTTCTGTGATTGCTCATACATTGTGAATTGGAAGCATCACTACTGAATAAATTTATGCAATAGCAAAGTAAAATTTCATGAGTAAAAGAAAAAACCCTATTGAACTGGAAGGGAATGGAGACAAGTAAGGGCCTAAGAAATAACAAATCTGTGTCCCAGGGATACAAGGTCACACCTACACTCAGGTGCACTACAGTTGCAGTTGCACTGTTTGTGTTAATGCTGGGTCTGCTCTCACACCTAGGGCAGTGGAGCTACTTCTGCTGGTGACACAGATCCTATTAAAGGCAAAGGGAACCTCCCCATGACTTCAATGAGAGCCGGCCAGGTTCTCAAAATAACTTGGGGGAAATAACTAGCTCAGTCATCCTTCACCTTCTACCTTCATGTACTTCTTAAGAGACAGGAATCAAACACAAACATAGGCAGGACCATGTTCAGACCTCCTTCTACAGGCATGTAACTTAGCTGCTGTGACCACTTAACTCCATCAGCTGCAGATACAGCAGCTGTTCTGACTCACTGCCCTCTTGAACAGTTGTGTCTAAATTAGATGCTTGTCACGGGCAGTCTGAACATGGCCTCTCAAAGTGCCCTCTTGTTCCAAGGCCTTCCAGTTTTCCTTTTTTTTTTTTTTTTTTTAAATAGAGATTCAGACCCTAGCCTGGAAAGAAATCATGCAAAGCTTGTGCAATATCCCCCGATGGGCATCTTGGGGAGGGTCACAGTTGATACTCAGAGATCAGTGCTGGCCTTGGCAGTCAGAGCCTGGATCCGAGCAGAGTTGCAGGTCTTGCAAAGGATGTGCCCGTCCAGAGGGTAACAGCCCTGATTGTCCCCTTCAGACAGGAGGCCACCACAGTCCTAGAAAATAAGCAAACAGAAAGAGGAAAGAAAATAAGAAGGAGTAAGATTAAGCAAAGAATCTATTAGTGAAAAGAACTCTCTCCTCACACTCCACCTTGTAATGGGATCTAGCCTGAGTCAGCGTAAAGCATGAAGCTGAGGTACATGATGTCTTTCACGATTAAGCTGTTTTCTGATAAGAGACAATGCTGCAGAGAAGATGGGTTCCCAAGCTCTCTGTTGAATTTAATCCAATTGAAAGTAAAAAGAGATTACTGCCTTCACATTTTTGAGGAAGCAAAGGTCGTTTAGCATTGGAGAAACATCAAACTGAAGCACATTTTTATTAATTCAAAAGAGGATAAAAAAGAAGCATCACTGGGAAGAAAGTTTGGTACCAATATCTGACTATAGGTAATCTTCTTTGGAAGAGTTAATGCCACAAAGTTACAGATTCCATTCCAGGGGTGACAGCTAAGCAAACTCCCTGCCTGTCTCCCCTTACCAGAACAGTCACCTATGTTTGCACAATTGGCCAAAAAGGTTGTGCCTTAAAGGAGGATGTCAGATAGGCACATGGAAACCCCATTTAAATGCCCCAAAACTTCCTCCAGAGACCTCAGCCTCTAAGTTTATAAGGCTGCTAGGAAAGTTGGGAGTTATCCCTCACCATGTGATCAAACAAGTGCTTGGCCCAAGACTGCTGATGGGGCTGCAGTGAGGGATTAGAGCTCACTTAGAGGCCCTTGCCTCTTCATCATAAATCAGTGTTTGTAAACATACCTGGGAGCAAGTGGTGGAAAGAGGAATATTATTGTTGTTCCTTCTGAGATAGCTGAGGTACATGGAGATCAAGGCCAAGTGAGTGTCTGTGTTCTGTTCTACTGCATCTGCTTGTGACATCTGTGTGTGTGAAAGCCTAGGTATCTCAGCAGCCAGCATGGAGACATGCTGTATGATGAATTAGGCTGTACAAAATTTAGTGTAGGAATGTCCCAGCATCTTAAAATATATGTACCCTGAAAGCCAGTGCCAGATTGAGAAGTGAACCAGATGCCTCAAGTTTCAGCCTAGACCTTTAAACCTTAGTCTATCCTTCTTTCTTGTTGAAGTTATTAAAACCTGCAACAGTGATGAGAAATATATTTGGTCTCATTTTCTTACCCTGCCATCTGGATGATGTATTATCGAACAAGCAACACTTCCACTGAAGAATTCTTGAAGGTTCCCTAACACAGCTGTTCCCACATGTTAATTGCTTTAAGGTGATTTTTATTCTCTGTCTTCAGATTCTTACCATCAAAATTACATGAAGTGCATAATGAAAGGGAACAGGGAAAGTAGCACAAAAAGCATTGCACAAAACAAGAATGATCATGTTTATGTGTCCATTAAAATTCTTCAACCCAGAGCCATATGCTGAGTTTCCTGTACAATCTTGCTCGAATTCTAACATGCATTAGCTTTCATTTTAAGAACATAAACATGAGCTACGTTTGTATCCAAGCTATAATTTATGAAGTTCTCAAATATTAAGCCCTAATTACCTGAGTCACATTCTCTTGCTCTCCTAATGAACCTGTTATAAACAAGGAACCTGATTTTCTTCTCATTTGCGCTGATATATATGAGGAAAAATTCCTTGCATGCTGAAGTCAATGAAGTAATTTGATTGTACAGCCAGTGTTACAAGAGGTTATACCTGTCGTGTGCATACCATGAGGTGGAGATGAAGTTAAGCCAATCTTTACTTTCTGTCCTTCACAGATTTCCTTCACACAGTGATTGGAATACTAACCTCACATCGGTAGCACTGGACATGGAAGTCACGATCCAAGGCAACAATGCGTACGGTCTCCTCTTGTCCTGGGGCCGGCATGATGGGCTCCTTGCACACAGAACATCTCGGAGCAAATTTCCTGAAGAAGGAAGAGACAGTCTCAGTCATCCTCAAACTTGGAGTGAAAGTTTTTGTTAACTGGACCATCAAGCCAGAAACATGTGCATTTGTACAAACACACTTATGTACGTGCACATATGTCACAGCTGGAGTTTTGCACAGCTGCCTTTTTGGAAAGAAGACAGGAAGGAGTACTTTAGTCTTAAAATGTATTTTCGGGCTTGTAGGATATTAAAGAACATTTTGCAGACTTTTAGGAGAGGACAAAGAACATCTGACAGGCAGCAAAGCATATTGTGCCTGTCCTAACTAACAACTAAGGTGAATGTCCCATAATTGTGGCATCTGTGCACTGCCATAACCCTTAACCATCTCTCTAAGAAAGCCCATGCAAATCCCAAGGTTAGAAAGATGACCACAATTTGCTTCAGGAGGATCTCTTGAAAACAAAACCCAAAATATTAAAATTTGGAGATTGGAACAAATAGGTTAAAAGTCTTGATACAGATGGTAAAAAGAATGCACCACACTCATTTGTTGAGGTTTATCCCATCCACTTTAAAATTCGGAGCCATCTTACCCACTTATGCACACAGGAGCACATTCCTGGTTCACTCTCAAATAAGAAGATCAGGGCAATTCTGACTTGCTGCATTTTCTAGCTAAAACCAACTCTCAGCTATCCAATAGCGGATTGCCCAGGCCTAAAAGGGAACAGGTCTGGTTGCAGAGACACCAATGCTCTCTCTTCCAGTCAGTCTTAGAATTGTATAGGGATAATAACTCACTGTGTGAAGGGACTCACTTGAATCAGGGTCAACTCAGGGATCAAGAGAAGCAGAGGCCTTTATTTTTCCCCTTATACTGCTCACCATATGCCCTTCTGGCTAATTCACCTGCGTTCTATATTAACTCTGGCTTTGCTCCCCCGAGTTCCCATGAGAAGTGGCCATCTCTACTCCTAGGCAGGTGGGGATGCTTGGGAACATTTAGCCTGTGGTGAAACATTGTGTGCTGTTTTGGTTCAAAACCTATTGGTACCAATTCCCTGGCTGCAAATTCTGGTTACATAAAAGGAAACTTACACCTACAGAATCTGCTGCTGTATAATGAGAGCCGGGGTCAGGGGCTATGGGGGACAGAGGGCAAAGCTTATGGCGAACATCAGAACACGAGGAGATCAAAGGCCCTTCTCTTCTGAAATGCCTACTAAAGATTGACTCTGCCACCCAGCCTGTCACATGAACCATCTCAGAATTAACTAGCTTAGAAAAGAAAAAAAAAAAAATCTATCTGTACTAGGAATAAAGAAAAATATTAATTTCACTGGCAGCAGATGAAAGATGTCTGTGTAGCTGCGATCTAACGAAAAAATGAATTAAACAGTGGCTATAGCCAGCGCTCTGAAAAATAACTTAAATGGATCATGATATGACCAGAGCTGTAATCGCAATTAATTATATGCTGCTTCATGTAGGCACTTCCTTGTGTCATTTAGCTCAAATGTGGTATTTAAAAATACTTCAACATTTCTTTGTCCAAGCTACAGTCAATAATTCAATATGAGCCAAATATTATCTTCCAGTACCCTGAGATAACTCCTGCAGATTTTGGGGGCTGTGGATGTGCTACTCAGGGCCTGAGCTCAGGGAGAAGCTGAGTGACAGTGTGAGCATCAGCTACAGTTTTCGTATCAAGAGGATGTAGATGTAGAACACTCAACCTCCAGATAAGGAGCCCTAATCAATTAAAACTGGGCTGGGCAAAGTGCTGCGAAACGTGTGGCTGGCCAAAAACATCCTGAGTGTCACACTGGATCTCATGCTATTCCCATCATCTTCCCTTCAGTCTTTTCCCTCAGTGATTTTTATGTCCTTTCCTTGGATTGACAGCCTCCCACTTCCCACTCTCAGCCCCGAGGTCCATATGCAGTCACTGCCAAAAGACTTCAGAGTGGGACATCAAGCCTTTCTCCTGAAAGCATGTGAGCCCTTGGCCTGTGGGGCTTGTGGAAGGAGCAGCCTCCAAATTGCACCCTTCAGGTGCCTGAGTGGTGCATAAACCTCCTGTAGGACCTCTGCTCAGGACCACATTTTACCTTAACACACAACTGGTGGCACAGAAAGGCAAGGCAATACAGCAGTTGCCAATTAACCCAGCCTAGCTGAGCTACAGGGAATATCCTTGTGTTGGATTCTAACATGCCAGTTGATTGTGGCTGCTTCCCTTTCTGTCAAGTCAGCCTACTTCTTTGAGCTTTCAGACCCACACACTGATGTCACGAGGCTCTAATTAAGTCTACCCCCTTAGAAATTAAGAGATAAATGGTTGAGATGTAAACTCACATTTGTCAGTATTGATTTCATCTTTTAATTGAGGGGTGTAGTGTATCTGTCTTTTCCATACAGGGCAAACATTTGTGCTCTGATTATATCTACCTGTCTTCCCTAGATTAGTTGTGATGATGGGGGTGGTAGCGTGGCAGTGACAGAAATTACTTGCAACTCTACCTTTCAACTTACTTTAAATAGCAGTTTTACTATAAATTATTACCAGGGCTGTATTTTCAGCAGCTTTAAAAAGCTAATTAGCAACTAGAAACAAAAGGAGCTCTGAGCAGCCTGTGGCCACAGAGATCCCTCTAGCTGGTAAGCAAACACCTGCAGAGTGCAGCAGGACAAGACCTCTCTTAATTGCTCAGTGGAAAAAGCAGGGAGACGCTGATGTGAAAGTGCAGGTACAGGCAGTGAGGAGAAACATGCACATACTGAGTGCAGGGGAAGGCAGAGCACTTAAAACAGAGGGAACACAGAGGTTATCCCTGAATTCAGCTCTAAGTGAAACAGGGATCAAGCAGCATCAGTCCCTAACCAATTAATCTTGTATGCCAAGGTGTGCCTGCTTAGAGCAAAGCTCTGCCTAGTATTTAAGAGCCTTGGGAGGAAATGGTAGAGGGTTCAGATTTTCTTGAATACTCAGGCTGAACAAGGAGGACTTTTAGGGACAAACGAAAAAAGACAATAAGCAAAGCACTGACAGCAGCTTAGGCCATACTTATGGAAATCCTCGATGCAGTGGATGTTCCCGCCAGCATCCACAGTGAAGGGGATCCCATCCAGGCTGCGATGGCACATCACACAGGTGAAACAGTGGGGATGATAGGCCTTCCCAGTGGCTCGGAGGATCCTTTCCATGATGGGCTTTGCACAGACACTGCATTGCTCCAATGTATTCTGCAAAGAAAACATACACAACAGATGTGAGCACCATCTCAGTGGGACATCTACAAAGGTCAGCTGGGTTGAAGGCTGCTGCTGGTCTACTTGGAAGCTTTAGCCATTTCTTCTAGATAAGTGCAGTACAGTCAACAGTTATCAAAGAGTATGGTAACAGCACAGGGCCTGGGTCAAGCCTTTATATAGTGTGACAACACAAACCAGAGCCTTCTCTCAGCAGCTCTGATAAACGATCAGAGATGGCCCATCAGGTGGGTGTGTCAGACACTGCAGCTTCTGTAGCCAGGAGCACGTGAAGGAGTTCTGCAGCCTGCACTCCTGGGCTTTTGCCTGTGGACTGCCCAGTCTGAGTGACCTTTTGCAGCGGAGATGATTAGAGACAAGCTCCAACAGCGGTCAGTGCAAAGCTGAAGTGCAATTTCCTGGGGCCACACAGAGACCCCCTAACTGCTCTGCCAATACAGATCCCATAAAAATATCTTTATCTGCCTTGTATGAAAATCTTGATCTTCTCTCTCACCACAGAGAACACTGTTGAGTCTGGGGAGAGCGCAAAGCAGAGGCTGCAATGAAAGCATCACAAGGACAGGAGTTCAGGATGACTTAAATGGTTCATTTATCTCTGGCCCACAGTGTTTGAGATAATGACTGTGAAATGCCAGCTCTAAGGCCATGATCCTTGCTGCACAGGTTTTACATATTGGCCTGCTCCTGAAGTGTTGGAGCCAAAAAAATTCCCACCTTTCAAGTGGGGTCCGTTGAATGATTCAACTCATTTCAACCCTCACTCACCCCTGCAGTTAATTATAGAAACACCAAGATCATTTTGTTTCAGATGGTTGTGTGTGAGCCACACCAGCCCTTCTGACACCAGCTGGGTAACTTACTCTTTCAAACCAAGCACTTAAAGACACATGCCATAAATGGAGAGTGCAAACCACATAGATGCAAACAATATGATTTGGATCATTTCACTGGATTTTAGGAAAGCAAACTTTATCTACCCTTCTTGCTTCATGCACCTGAAGTTATCAAATAATGTCATCAATCAGCATTTGCATCTTGGGTGAGGGAGAAAAATCTATAAGTACACTACTGATTATCATTTAGATAGATAGAAATAAGGAGGGTGGAGAAAGGAAAAAATCTAACAGGATAGAAGCATAAAAAGCTACTGAAAGGCAGATCATGTTGACAAACACAGGAGGGCTTAAGTTCTTCTGCTTCCTCATGCAACAAAATTCCCAGGGAAAGTAGTGCTTTGACTGACCGCATTGTTATTGTTTCTTTGAGCCAATATTCTCAGGGGCAAGATCCAGTCCTTACATGTGCAGCCAAAATGTATTGTCAGATGAATCACCCAGGAGCTCAGAAAGGTTACTTCTACATTCATACATTTCCTATCATACATATCTCTGGGCTGCACGTGACTGGTAATGTACAAACATACAAATACACAAGTTCATATCAGAAGATCAAAAGGATTGTTTTTGGAAAGGTCTATACGAAAAGTCCTGAATTTCAAACCATATGAGTACTGCCTCACAGATTTGTAAAGAGAGTAGAGCCAGACTAGCATTGAATTCAGACTGGATTTTGCTTTATACCTTGTAATAATGGGCAGGAAAGAATGACTGCTGGCCCTTCTGTTGGGTTGCTGTCACCATCATCATCATTATAACAGTAGCTGGTATGCCAGAAAAAGCAAGGTCAATAATTTTCTCCTTGGAGAAATAACCTGGCAAATTTGCCATTTTGCTTTGCATAAGCAGATCACATAATCTCAGTCCACATCCACGCTGTTCTCTGTATTTTTTTGCCAAGGAAGGAACGCAGCATACCTGCGGATACTGATGGAAGATTGTGCCATTCATAAGGCGTTTGCTATGACACCTTCTGAATACACACAAGTACTTGGTTTGCCTCACCAAGTCACTGCTTGCTTCTTTTCCAACAGTTGCCAGCAACAGAGGCCAAAGTATGAGAACAGGGCTAGCAAAACACAGCAATTTCTTAGGATGTGCTTCCAGCCTCCACTGATTTCTGGTTTAGGGACTTCCTGAGACAGAGCTTGGCTTTCCATATTTTGCCTCAAGTGGTATGTTTCTCCCACGAACTTTCTTGACAATTTTTGAATTCTGATAAACATTGAGCACCCACAGCATGACCAGGAGTTCCCTGGCATACAACCACATTGGGGGCTGATCAGCCCAGCAGTTCCCCTGGTCTGCTACCACCGCCTAGGGACGGGCCCTCCAGTCAGCAGCACTGAGCACAGCCCGTGCAGGACTGTGAACAGAGCAGAACCCTGCAGCACCAATCCACCCTGCAAAGGGATTTAGCATCAAACACCATGGCCTGGAACTTCTCTCACAACAGATCTAACTCCTGCTCACACATTTCAGATACACTGAGTTTAAGACTGCAAGGGATCATTAGAACCATCTTCTCTGAATTTTCATGTTAACGTTGACTTTGGTGGGAGTTTCCCAGTGACCAGGACAGCAGGCAATCACCCTTATGGGTTATGCCTTCTGAAAACACACATCTTCTGCTCCCAAATCTCAGCTCAGTCACACTGTTTGACATTCTCGCAGCTAAGTAAGACAAGCATTTTAAATTAACCAACTCCCGATTAAACCTTCTATACAACCTGAAAATTAGACCTGAGAAATTTATTCTTTTCATCCTTCAAAGTCTGTACCAGTGAGGAAAAACAAAGTCATTAGTTTCAGACTCCAGCTCACTCCCTGTCTGGGAGTGTATTTGCATAAGTCACTCTCCTTGCTAGAACCCTGGCTCAGAACCTTCTCTTCAAGGTGTTACCAGATGCCAATGGGAAAGCTTCCTTGATTCACACCCATTTGACATCAGGTTGCTGTAAGGCAGGATTTGGACTGTGGAGCTAACAGAGTTTTCTTTGACTCTCTAATCAGGTTATCCCACATGCCAAAGTGCTGCCCCAGCAGCTAACAACCTGCACAAAGGTATTTCTGCACATTATGAGAACAGCATCCCTGTTGGATTATAAATTTGGCTTCTTGATTTTGCTCTCTTTCACAGTTTAGCTAACTCTCCTAACACCTCCTGGAGCTTACAAATCTACAAAAAGCCAAACAAGATGAAGAAAAATGCCTAGCAGCCCTATTTTTCTTCTTCTCTCCCAAGCTGTTGTTACAAGCCCTCTCTGTAATCAACAGGTAGAGCTGAGTGCTTCTGATCAGCTACACCAAGGGCTAAGGCAAGGTGCAGAGAAGAAAGATGAGAAACAGTTAGGAAAAATCAGGCCTAGGGGCTGTGGTCAAATTCATAAGAATATGGACCACAAATCCAGTGTGGGCTGAGGGGTAGATTTTCCCATATTTTCCCATAGATCCCTTTCCCATATTTTGTCTAAGAAGCAGGGAGTGCCCTTCTTTTTTAGAGAGACTCATGTCTCCAAATCCAATCTAGACTTGAAAAGCGCAGGGAAGGAACCATCCATTTCTAAATGGAAGGTTGGCACAATGTTAAAAGCTGAGTCTGGGTTCATGTTTTTTGAAGGCAGAACTGCTTACCCACAGCAAAGAAAAGGAATTGCACATGGAGAGAATAATGCACCCTAAAACAGCAGCCACAAAAATAACACCAAGCAAAGGTACAGTAAAACACAAAGAAAGAACTGAAATGACCAGGGTATCAAGCATCAGCTTGCAAGTAAAAACTCAGAGACTTAAACATGTACAACACAATCAGTGGTAAAGTGGGAACAAGCTGCTTAGGACCAAGCATCTAGAAGCAAGTGGTGGTGGGAGTTGTTTGATCTTCCTATAGCAATACTTGTTCCTTCAGAAACCACAGAAAGCCAAAGGGAATCACTCTGCAGATGTTAGGTTTAAACATGGGACATGAAGTGAAAACCCAGACTGCTGGGAAAGACTTCTGGGTTGCAAGAGCCACTGAAGACTGGAGCTGGGAAGTGTCTGAATCCCCTCCTGAAAATTTCACGTCCCAGATGGCAGTGACAAACAGCTTTGGGGAGCAGAGGTGCAGTGACAGCCTATGGGCTGCAGCTCATCCTGCTTCCTTAATGCTGCAGATTATAACCCATCATAACCAAATTTTGGGTGACAGCAGTAACTCACAAGGTCGTGCAACACAAGGACACTCCCACAATGACCTAGCAATGAGCGCACAAGAAAAGCCACACAGACGCTTAGCCATTGCTTCTTCTGTATTGGCAATGCATCCCAAACTCTAATGAACATAAATAATCTCTCCTGCACTCTGAACAGCAGACACAGGAGAGCTCATGCACAGGGACATGAGCATGATACTGCTTATTTTGCTCAGAGAGGGGAGGGAAGTTGCTGGAATAAATTACATTGGTAACTCACGCACAGGGACGCAAACTCACTTTCTATGAGCACTGCAGGAGAAACACATTTTTCGAAGTGACTGAGCAGAGGAGATGGTATTAAGCTGCATGCATCAAAAGTGACTGTTGTGCTAAAAACAGGCACGTGGTCAAATACTATAGTTGAACTGTAACTTAGGAAAGTGTGGTAAGTGACTTGCTTTAAATCTTGTGACTCCGTCCTTCATTTCCTCAGACGGCAAGGAGAGCAGAGCAGCAGATATTTTCCCCTTTGTGGGATAATTTTTGAGGCTTGAAAATGTTTCCATACTTAAGTGAAGACAGAACACTTTAATCTCAAGAAGTCTGGTGAATTTATAAACCCCAAATTAGATCAGGTCAATTGAAACAGTGCACTTCAAATAATTTCAAATGGTTTCATTTAGGTTTTGGGTCTGAAAATATATAGTTGGGTTACAAATTATATATAAAGCAGACATTGGTGGAGGGGTTAAGTGTCAAGATGTAATTTCAACAGTTTCAAACACTTTTTTGGCATTATTTCTAGAAAAGGAAAATCCAAGACCCGATTTCCACCTCAGGCTCCCCAACTGCTACCTCCACAGATGGGTAAATCTTGGCAAACTAACATTTAAGTCAC